TGAGGTGCTTCGGAGGATTGGGGAGGTGGCTTATGAGCTTGCTTTGCCACCCAGTTTATTGAGTGTACATCCGGTATTTCATGTTTCTATGCTCCGGAAGTATATTGGCGACCCGTCTCATGTTTTGGATTTCAGCACGGTTCAGTTGGATGATGATTTGACTTATGATATGGAGCCAGTGGCTATTTTGGAGCGTCAGGTTCGAAAGTTGAGGTCAAAGGATATAGCTTCAGTGAAAGTGCAGTGGAGAGGTCGTCCCATTGAGGAGGCTACCTGGGAGACCGAGCATGAGATGCGAAGTAGATATCCTCACCTATTTGAGGCTTCAGGTATGTTTCTTGACTCGTTCGAGGACGAACGTTTGTTTAAGAGGGGGAGGATGTGACGACCCGGCCAGTCGTCATGAGTTACCGCTCCGTTTCCCCCATTTCTGCTTCTTATGGCTTTGTTTATCGGTATTATGTGTTATCAGGTTGGTTGGCTCGGGTTCGGAAAGGTTTTGGTAAGATTTGAGACACTTAGTCTCTTTTGAGGGAGCTTAAGTTGGAAAAGTCAACTAGATGTTGACTTATATGAATTAGGGCTCGGATGTAAATTTCGATGGTTCGAATAGCTTTGGGAGGTGATTTGGGACTTAGGAGCGTGATCGGAATGAGTTTTGGATGTCCGGAGTAGATTTAGACTTAAATTGGCGAAGTTGGAATTTTGGCGTTTTCTGGTTGATAGGCGAGATTTTGATGTAGGGGGCGGAATGGAATTTTGGGAGTTGTAGTAGGTCCGTTGTGTCATTTGGGATGTGTGTGCAAAATTTTAGGTCATTCAGACGTGGTTTGATAGACTTTTTGATCAAAAGTGAAATTTGGAAGATTGTGGAACCTTAGGCTTGGATCCGAGGTGTTTTGGTTGATTCGATGTGGTTTGAGGTGTTTTGAAGATTGTTATAAGTTTGGATAGTGGTATATGTCTTGTTGGTGCTTTTGGTTGAGGTCCCGGGGGCCTAGAGGTGATTTCGGATGGTTGGCGGAAGATTTTAGTTGGGTTTGCCAGCTGAAGATTTCCTACTGCTGTCATAACCGCACCTGCGGCTAGGGGACCGCAGGTGCGGGGATGGAGCCGCAGATGGGCCAAGAGAGAGATCAGGCGGAGCCGTAGAATCAGACATATGAGCACATTTACGATGGCACAGGTGCGAGAGAGTGACCGCAAGTGCGGTTCGGAGGATTTAAGTCATCTTCGCAGGTGCGTACCTGGGACCACAGATGCGGGTCCGTAGGTACGAGCATTTCACGTAGGTGCGGTTTTATTGGGCCAGAAAGTATATATACCCTCCTTCACAATTTTTGAGTTTTTCTTCACCATTTTCATTCGGGTTTGAACTTGGGGGAGCTATTTTGAAGAGGGATTCAAGGGATAACGCTTGGAGGTAAGATTTTTGAACCTAATAATCGATCCTATGGAATTATTTCACTGATTTGGCTTGAAATTAATGGAAATTAAGGGTTAAAAATTGGGAATTAGGGGTTGGTGTTGGAGACCTTTGAGTGAGGGTTTGAGGGGTCATTTGTGGTTGGATTTTGAGACTTTTGATATGAATGAACTCGTGGAGTGAGCACGGGTACCCAGTGTGATATGTGATATAGCCCGATGGGCTAATGTTGTTCCATGTTATTGGCTGATGGGCTGATACGAGTGATTGTGAGATAGCCCGAGGGGCTAGTTCTGTTAGTATTTTCCCCGAGGGGCCGATTTATGTTTCTATCTGTTCTCACTGCTTTTCATTCACTCGTTCAAACTGCTAAAAGATGTTTTAAAGAGGTTTTCACTAAACTAAGGTGTTTTACGAGTTTTCACTGTTTTATTGTATTGTATTGGTTTTTACTACCTCGTTGTAGCATTTTGCTGTGTCTTACGTGTTTTCTTATCGCTTAGCTTCCTTTACTTTTATTATTCACTGAGTTGGCATACTCACACTACTCCTTGCATCCTGTGTGTAGATTCAGGAGCTTCGGGTCTCGCTAGCGAGTGCTGATTGCTTCCAGTAGGCGGTTCGGAGTTCACTAGGTAGTTGCTCGGCGTTCGCAGCCCAGTGCTTCTCCCTCTTATCTTACTTTCCTTGTACTAAATCTGTAATAGATTGTGTAGTCCTTTTTCATACTCTAAGTTGGATGTTTAGATGCTTATGACTGGTGACACCCCGATGTCAAGCTGTGTTTATTTTCGCACTTGTTCTATTTCACTTTATTTTGGGGTTTATCACTTATTAATGGCTAAATTATGAATTATTATAATTGTAAATTGGTTTGGGGGTTTTTGTCGACTGGCCTTGTCTTCAAGAGAGGCGCCATCAGGACCGAGTCCGGATTTAGGGTCCTGACAATTTTTAAGAGAAATTTCGTCCCCACTTCATAGGTTAGTATAGTTTAACTCGTTTTCTTCCATTTCCATCAACACCCATTGATTTCTAACCTTTAATATATGCTCGTTCATGGTAGAAATTAGGGATTTGGGTAGAGTTGAGAATTTTTGTAAAATTGAGATTTAAACCTCAAATTGAGGTCGGATTCTGAAACTAATCATATAATCGTGCTCGAGGAATGGGTAATTGAATTTTGGTTCAAATCTCGGTTTTTGACCAAGCGCGCTCGGGGTTGACTTTTGCTGACTTTTTGGGAAAAGTGTAAAGATGTTTGATTTATCTATTGTAATTTATTTCCCTAGCATTGTTTGTTGATATTAAGTCGATTTTAGTTAAATTCGATTGGTTTGGAGGTGAATTTTACAGGAAAAACCCTGATTGAGCTTTGAGTTGATTGCAGAGCGAGTTAAGTTTTGGATCTAACCTTGATTTGAGGAAATTAGGAATCTTTGAACTATATGTTATGTGAATTACATGTGCAACGGCGTATATGCGAGGTGACGAGTGTATATACACCGTCAAAATAATTGTTTCCATGCTTTCTCGTATTTCATGAATTATTTTATTTCCTGCCTTAACTGTTATATGCTTTAATTCCTTTCTATGCCGTAATTTGCTAATTATCATTAATTATTCTTGTATTATTCTCCCTTTCATAACTCCGTGGTTAATTGCTACTTGCCTTATTGTCTTACTTTCATACCTTAATTGTCGCGTTTTGTATTATTTGTAGCAATCCTTTGATTAGTATGCGGTTCCTTTATTGAATGCTTTCATATTTTTTAATTGTAGAGATTCTTGTAATTGAGCTATTGGATTGGTTACATTTATTTTAATTATTTATCGATCAAGTTGCACGCCGCAATGGTTGTGATATGGTGGAATAAGGGAGGATTTTGATATTAATTATGATGATATGGTGGGATTGGGTTTCGCGTCGCAATGGTTGTGTATGTAATACTTGTTATTGATAAATTATGACATGGTAAAATAAGGAGAGGATTATGATATTGATTCTGATGATATGGTGTGATCGGGTTGCGCACCGCAACGAATTTTTATGTGATTCTTGATATTAATAAACGATGTTATGGTAGAATAAGGGAGGATTGTGTGTGTACGGTGGGATCGGATTGCGCGCCGCAACGGATTATGTATGTTGTATTCGTTGTTGTTATTGTGTTGGTTTCTAGCTTTATTATATGAAATTATGAGATCAATTATTCTGAGTTCTCTGATTGCGAGGATTGAGCTCATTTTCATAAATTGACTGCTTTACCGTCATTTTCTGTTTTCCTCCCTATTATTACTGCGTACAATTTATTATAAGTGACCCGCCTTAGCCTTGTCACTACTTCGTCGAGGTTAGGCTCGTCACTTACAGAATACATGAGATCGGTTGTACTCATACTACACTCTGCACTTCTTGTGTAGATTTAGGAGTTTGTCCTAGCGGCGGTCAGTAGATTGCTCGGATCTAGTACTTGACAGAGACTTGAGGTACAACTACACAACGTTCGCAGCCCCGAAGTTCCCTTCTACATTACCTTAGCTGTTTATTTCAATTCAGACAGTTATGTTTTTATTCAGACTATTATTTGTAGTACTCTAGATACTCGTGTATTCGTGACACCAGTTTTGGGATTGTATTGGGATATCGCCATTATTTTAGTTTATTCACTCTATTTCAGTTTATTCAGCTTATTGGTTTTTATTTGATTTGAATTGTTAAAAATGGCTAATAATTATATCTAACGTTGGCTTGCCTAGCAAGCGAAATGTTAGGCGCCATCACAGTCCCGAGGATGGGAATTCCGGGACAGGGAACGGGTTGTACATCACAACGGAAATTGAAATGGTGGAATAATGATGGATTATGATATTGACCAATGATGATATGGTGGGATTGAGTTACTCACAACGGTTTGTATGTGTGGTACTTGTTTGAGATCGTTGGATTTACCTCGGTATTGTGATATGAGACTATGAGACTTGTTATTCTGGGCTCTCTGGTAGTTGAATTTCGAGTTCGTTTTCATGAGTTAACTGATTTACTTCCATTTCCCGNGGCCCGCCTTAACCTCGTCTCTACTTCGTCGAGGTTAGGCTCGACACTTACAGAGTAGATGGGGTCGGTTGTACTCATACTACACTCTACATTTCTTGTGTAGATACCGGAGTTAGTCCAGCAACGCTTAGTGAGATTGCCCGGATCTAGCTACCTGTGAGACTTGGGGTATAGCTGCACGACATCCACAGCCCTAAAATCCCCTTCTATGTCATCATTGATGTTTTTTTAATTCAAACAATTGTGTTTATTCAGACTATTATCTGTAGTACTCTAGACGCTCATGTATTCGTGACTCCAGTTTCTGGGATTATATTTGGATTACGTCGTTCAGCAGTTTATCACCTTATTTTAGACTATTCGGTTATTATTGTTATCATTTGATTTGAATTGTTAAAACTGGTTAATAAATATAGCTGATGTTGGCTTGCCTAGTAGGTGAAATGTTAGGCGTCATCACGATCTCGAGAATGGGAATTATGGGCCGTGACACAAAGCTCCATATATAGAATTTACCTGACAAGTTATTCCATCCAAGAAACATATCTTCAAGCTTTGACATGTTCCACATGTCTCTTGGTAAATTTCCTACATTAAAATACAACATATCAGGAAGAAATAAAATTAAAGGATCACTTCAAGAAGAAATTAAAAGGAAATGAGAAGTAGTACAGCTAGCCTAGTTAGTTACCTGTGAATCTGTTATAAGACAAAGACAGATATTTAAGTTGAGTGCATTTATCCAAACCACTTGGAAGTTCACCCACTAAGTGATTATGTGCCATAAATAAACTTTGCAACAGTGGGAGATTACTGCACATGTCATTTGGCAAAGTACCAGTTAGATCATTGAAACCCAAATCAATGAGCTTTAAAGATGAAACATTGAAAATGGACAGTGGAACATTTCCAAATAGATCATTTTCAGAAAGATCAAGGAGCTCAAGCCTTGGGAGAAATCCAAGGCTTTGTGGGATTTGACCAGTGAGATTATTCATTTGCAAAGACAAGTACTTGAGCTTCTTCAGAAACCCAACTTCATTGGGGATTTCACCTATAAAAGTGTTGTTGCCAATTTCTAAGAAACTAAGGAAGGAGAGATTCCCTATTTCTTTAGGAACAGACCCTCCTAGTCTTAGGCTCTTGAGGTTTAGTGCAACAACTCTTTGATGCTTTGTGCTACGAGAAACACCAATCCAACTGCAAACTGTAGTGCCTTGTTGTGTCCAGTTTTTGGACAGAATTTCATTAGGATCGTTGGTTATTTGTGCTTTGAAGGCTAACAGAGCTGATTTGTCAGTTGATATGTTCCTTATTACTGAAGCAGAAATATTATTGATGCAGTAGATTAATAAAAGGAAGCCAACAATTATTGCCCTTGCCATCATTTTTTTTTTCAAGAACCAAATTTTTTGAAAGGTGTAGTATGAAGGAAAATGGAAAAGGAGAAGAGAAGTTGTATGTATTTTTGTTCTTTCAGCATTATATAATGGAATTAATTAATTGCTTCACCACTTGTCTATACATAACTCCTCTCCTCAGAAGACAAACCCAATAAGTGTTTGCATGCAATAAATGATTTTCTTTTTCTGTTTGAAAACTAAAATATATAGTCGTCATGCATGGTCACCTGTTGTTGTTTCAAATCCCACATTCGACTCGCGATATTACATTTACTGGGGAGAGTAATATGCAGTCTTATGTTATGTGTCATACTATTTTAGTATGTCATACAATTATTATTCGTGGAGTTAAACCATTTCTTTTCTTTAATTAAGTGTTTTCATATTTTCTTATTATATCTTAATTAGTTATGTCAAATTATGATTTTTAATTCTGTTCTCCAAGTACTAAATTATTTTTAAGAAATTAAGATAATGAAGTCCCAATTGTGACAAAAAATCAATTGCTTGATTTGATCCGTGTACTCAGAATTCCTTTGTTACATTTGGACGAATATTTCCGGTCATTAAATATGTGAAAGTAATTAAATCTAAAAAAGCTGCACAGATAATGTGTATATTTAAAAGTTTTGGTTTTCTAGTTCAAATATCTGAAGAAAGTGAAGAATCTATATATTATTAAAAGGAGAAGAAAAAGTCCTCTCCTTAAGCCAAGTGGCAGCCTAGAAACAAGCCACATGGCATAAGTAGTTCATAATTATTTATTTAGTTAGTCATTGTTTTTGAATTTAAATATATATAAAATAATAAATAAAATATATTACAATAAAAAACGAAAATTAAAAAAAATTGTCCATTTAAATTGGAGAGTAGTTTCAAGTTGGAGTTTTTAAATTAAATTAAAATAAAAAACTAAAATTACAAAAAATAAAAAAACCGCCAATTCAATTTTTTTTAATTATTTTTTTTTCGTTTTTAAAAATAAAAAAATTATTTCTATATCTATATATTATTTTGGAGTTTGAAATAATATTATATATATATATATATATACTAAAACAAATAATAACAAAAGAGAGAAAAACCTAATTTAATCCTCTAAATCATGTACCCACTTCCCATCCCCCCATTTCGCTTGCACGTCAACACAACCACCTGCATACATGCAATTGAAATATAGGACATTACACGATAAAAAATGAGAGAGATCAAATATTAAATAACTGGCGTTTACAATAAACCCGGATTTTTACCGATAGTAGCCTTTCTCTCTCTATATAGATATAGAAAATCTTCAACATATAATAAAAGAAGAAAAAAACTCACTATATTAAGCTAATTGGCATAACCATAAGATGAAAATTGTAAATTTTTAGGACAAAGCTCCACTTCAAATTTATTTGGTAAAATTAAGTAAATAAATAATATTAAAAAATATTGTTGAAAAGAGAAATCATACCACAAACCAGATCATGTAACTAAAATCTTAATATATTAAGCCAAAAACCAAAATACAATAATGAATGTTTTTGAAGAAATAACAAAGAGTTAATTTAAATACAAATTCTCGAGTAAGTTATTAAGAAAATAAAACCCAAACGTTAAAAAGTCATTAATTACTAATGAAACATAATACTAAAAAGACAATCATGAAATATTAATAGATTTTACGACAAATGTGTTAAAGAACTTCTCTATTCTCTACACTGATTAAAAGTTATATTTAAAATAACACATGAAAAATAATAAAATATTTTAGTATAAAATACAAAACGTTAAGACTTATCTTAATTTGAGTTGAGAATGTCTTTTGAATTATGATAATAAAGGTAATAATAACTAAAATCATAATAAACAAATAGTAATAATAATAATAATAATAAAAAGTCCCAGACCCCACGATGTGAGATAAGACTGGTATGTTGTTGTTGTTGTAATAATAAAAAATAAAAAATTTCAGTAATAGTGTATATATATATATATATACTAATTAAATTTTTCATGTAGAAAATTTTAGTTAATAAATATAACTCATAGTTTTATAATAGAAAATACAAAAATATGAATATACTATTAGGATATTATACAAGCGATAAGTATATATATTATATATTTTAATATATAAGAAATTAAAAAGTATTAAAAATATTGGTAGGTTTTTTATAAAAACAAAAAAAAGCTTATCTCTTTATAGTTTTGATGAATTCAAATTTATAATTTAGTTATTTAAATTTTGAATAAAATACTTCAAATATTACAGTACAAAAGAATGTACGAAAAGAGGGCGATAAAGATAATTTTATGATATTTTTATTTTAAATTAATTAATAAAAAATACAAATAAATAACACTCAAGAAAATTATTGATAAATTTGGACAATTGAAGAATTTTGAACAGTATAACATAAGTTTTAAAAATACAAATATTTCCAAGGTTTGAAAATATATATTTATATTATATTAAAAGAGAAGTAGTATCAAATATTAAGCCAATTGACAAGTTAATAAAAAGCCATATTAGTACTAAGTACTTACTATATTTTTGTACACTACATAAAATAATAAAATAACAACTAATATTTACTAAAATAATATAATATATCAGATCATAATTTTATAAGATTAATATTCTGCCAAATTATCTGCGCATCGTATGGGTTCTAACACTAGTTTTAGTAACATGAATATCCAAAAAAAAACATACTAGCTTTTTCTTTTTTGATTTTTCAAACTAGATTCTCGTGATCTTATATGAATGTATTTCTTAATCTTTACCAAATTGAAATGCGATACCAACTATTTATACTTCTCACTGGATCAAAATATCTGTTTTATGCATAGAAATCGTACTCGAATAGTCTCAGTACTTATCCTACTTGTAAGGGGGGTATTTTAAATATCATGAGAATTGTGAGAGTAGATATTGTATGGGTCCAAATTTAACCAATCACGAACAACGACGAGTACGACGAATGACGGGGTCTCCTTGAGTCGACGTCCTGAGGGAGACGACCTTAAGGCAAACAAGAGACTGTACGACCCTTGTTATAAGTATAAGCCCATTAGGGAATATTAGAAATATTCCTTCGAATATTCCTTGTAATTTTTCTTTTACAGCTTAGATGAGTTTCATTCTTTGTATATATAGAGGATAATAACCTTGTAAAAGGGGATTAAGAGTTTTTTGATTACACTACTATTTATGAGTGAAAAGAAACTTTGTGACCGTCTTCTCTTTATCTATTATTTTTTCTAGAGATTATTATACTCAGCTAAGATTTACCCCTTCATCTTTAATTGATTTGTTCAAAAAGGTTTCAATATCTTTTGAGTCAAACGGATATATTTTTGGCTCTAGCATGCGTAAGATGAAGGTAAAGGATCTGCAGTATAATATAGTAGGATGAAGGTTATTGAATAGCTTTTCCGTTCCATTGCCATCTTATAGGGCCACCTTCCTAGCTCTTTGTTTTTTATTTTTTTCTATTTGGTGCATTTAAATATTAAAAATATATTATTAACATATGAAAAGTCAATAAGACAATCTCTAACATGTAGGTCATACATATTTACTTCAATTCAATGTCGTTGTTCTAATCAGCTGGAAAGATGGAGGGCATTGATTCTAGACAATGACAGACGCCAAATTTTACCCTTTTTGGTATTTGCTCGTATACGGTAGAAATTGGGGCTACCCGATTTCATCCTTTGGTCGAAATAGGAATGTCGTGTCAAAGAGCTAGGACGTGAGTCCGGAATCGAAACCTGTTTTCGGACCGAGGTCGATATCAATTGCGGCCAGAAAGAGGCAGACTTCAAGTGAAATCGGTATAGCTTGATAACGGAAAAGGTGAGATATCCGCGATTGGTCAAGGATCGTGGCGTGAATCTCGGAACGAATCAATCTACGGCGGTTAATCAGATGTTAATATGGTTTCATACCATAATTAAAAGTGTACCTTATTTAGGACTCCTCTATTATATAAAGAGAGATCACATTCATTTGTAAGCATCATTGTTCACCGATAAGAATATATACACTCGTTATTTTCCTGCTAGTTCACTTACTATTCATCAGAGTTGCTTTATCATTTACTGTTCTTATTATTCCACCTTGAGATTATCCCGAGTCGAGGTCGAGACCTGGCTAGCATACTGGTTTGATTTATTTTATTCTCTAATTTATTCATTTACTTTCTTGCTTATCTATCGGTATTGGACGAAATCACGTATCCTTAAAATCACAATATAAGTTTAATTGTTATTCGAATTTGAGGGTAAACAGTTTGGAGCCCACCGTGGGGGTAAGTATAATAGTGATTGTTCGGTGTTGATTTTGATAACACACATTATTTCACGCTTGTTCTTGTCGAGTATCTTTGCTCTCGGATTAAACATTTCAAACTCACAAAACGCACCCACACATGGTGACTATGGTCTCGGGTTTTACGGGGAAAATGACAATGTAATTACTCCAGAAGCCGAGGTTCTACACGCTAATCTCGGGGAGCACCGGTTGCCAATCCAGTCGATGTCAGTTCGCACATTGTTTTAAATGCGGACCTAGGCGCGGAACCTGAAGGGAGTATACGCAGAGAAGACTGATCTAGTGACCAAGGTACACATGGCAGATGAGACGGAGGAGTTAGTCTCCAAGTTGTATTCGATATGCTAAAGGCTCAACAAGCCGCTATTGCTCAGCTACAAAATCAATATAGAACTCCGAGGGGTCGAGCCATAAATCACTCGTCGTACCGAGCTAGTGCCAGAGAAGTCGAATAGTAACGAACCAGGGATCGATCCTGCAATAATGAAAATGCTCGAGGAGCTTACCAAAAGAATCGAGTTAGGAGAGAAGAAAATCGAAGCTAATGATAAAAAAGTGAAAACATACAACTCCCGAGTTAATCAGATACCGGGGGCACCACCAATCTTGAAAGGGATGGATTCAAAGAAATTTGTACAAAAGTCGTTCCCTCCGAGTGCGTCTCCGAAACCCATTCCAAAGAAGTTTCGTATACCAGACATACTTAAATACAATGGGACCACCGATCCCAACGAG